TTCCTGTCTCCTGCTGCTCTCTCGTGTCCTCCGTGTTTATCCTCCGGTTCAGCTGCTCACCTGGACTCACCTGAGATCAGTCAGGTTAATATGACACTAACAACAACAACAACAACAACAACAACAACAACAACAACAACAACAATAATAATAACAACATGATCTGATGACGGTTTGTAAGCAGCAGACACTGTGACGAGTAGCGTTTTATTTCCTGTGCTGTCATTGGTGTTTCCTGATGTCATCACTGTTATCCGTGATGACATCATCGTCCTATGGGAGCAGGAGCTGAGGTCTGAATGAAGCCGACAGCTGAAGCTTCGTCCTGCTGCCTGTTTGTGTCTCGGTTGTTCTTCTTCGTCACGGTTGCTGCATCATCATCATCATGTGACTTATTTTGGAAGCTGGCGTTGTGTCCTCGGAGCTCCGGCGCTCTGTGGTCGGACTAAATTTAGACTCGTGTATCTGGATCTCCTTCCGTGCTGTCTGTGTGAGGAATATTGCGGATGCCGGTCAGAGTTTAAGGAGCAGCCGGAGCGTCGCTGACCGTCCCGGCCTTTGTGACGATGCTTTAAATAGCTCGGCTTGCTGGGGGGCTGCGAGGGGCGCAGCCGAGGACGGGTCGGGATACGAGAGCGGAGCTTCAGTCAGACGCACTGAAGGCGACTCAGGTATTCCTCAAAGATTCCAGAGGAATACTGCACTTCCAGACAGAGTTATGGACTAAATAACTTTGCTGCTGTGGATTCTGAGCTCAGGTGAGCACAGTAACTGGATGACATCACATGTACATGTGTCACAGGTGACACACGCACCTGTCCAGGCAGACTCCGCCTCCTTCCTGTGCTTGGAGCTGGACTGATGAGCACCTTCAGTGAGAGTTCACCTGTTCCCCTTTAACACACGTGAACGTGGTTGGCGACACGGCGCGGTGTCGTGAGGAGACTCGGTGACAAACTCATCGAGTCTCTGGCAGCTGCGCGCGGCGGCGGCGCTGTGGGGCTCTGAAGGAGGCGAGCTGCTGAGCTCAGCATGGCGGTCGTGATGAAGAGTTTTGAATGAATAGTGGATTGTAAAGCTCTATATAAATGCACTCCATTATTATTATTATTATTAAAACTGATCAATACCGATCGATCAGTTTGCTGCTGATACAAACAGCAATCAATAATTCATATTTTCATTGTCCGGCATGTCAGCGATTAAAGGAGGAAAAGTGAACACGTGAGCGGCAACAATCGAGGAAATAAAAAATAAATATATTTAAAAATAAATTCAATAAAATATAAAAAAGTGCAAAAACTCAAAATAACTGAAAGTGAAACGTTTCATCAAGTCACATGACTTCCTGCCTGAGGCCTGGCTTGGCTGTGATTGGTCCGTGTGACTAGAACAGGTAAACACAGCAAAGCTGCTGCTGGCGTTTGTGTTGGCAGACGCGGCGGCGGCGAGGAAACCTGAGACGCCTGCAGGACGTGTCGCTTCTTGTAAAGAATTTGTAGCTGCAGAGCGACGGCACGGTCATGTGACGCATCACAAAGAACGCACTCGGGAGCGTGTCAGACGCTGATAACATACCTGCTGCACACCTGAAGGCTGGAAACCGCCCAGACTGTATGATGTCATCAGAGGGCGTGGCCTTGTAGCAGTTATTTAAACAAGGCTCCTGATTGGACGTCTGTGGTTTTTTTTGGCAGGGTCGGTCCGGCTCGCAGGCGTGCTGAGAGGGGCCTTTGATACGTGAAGGTGACCTTTAACCTTTACTCTGGTTACATATGAGGAGGTTATTATCATTGTAACCATAAAGGGGGCGTGGTCACATTCATCACATTCATCTTCATAATCGGACCTCCGGTGAAACACCTGGATGACCTTTGACCCGATTAACTGTAAATAGTGATGGACTGAGTAGCTGGTGACTCTGAGCCGGTCAGGAGCTGGTTTAGTTTTAGTGGTTTGTGGATGAGGACTGGTTTGTGCTGGTTTTAGCACTGGGGGGTCTTCGGGGTGCAGAATGTGGTGGAATGGGAGCGTCACGAGTCGACTGGAGTATAAACTGGAACGCCGCGTCTGCAGACTGCAGCTCAGCATTCCTCCTGTGATGCGTTCACTGCCTCCGCACTGAACTGGGACGCATGAGCGCCTCTGTTTCCAGGAGATTACGCAACGATTCAGCCTCCAACATTTGGACGGTTTCATGTCCCGAACGTTGCTGCGGGGCTGAGCTGACAGTTATGTAACGGGACTGGTCGGGCTGACCTCTGACCTCTGTCTGCGGGTCCTCCTGTGATGGAAGTGTTTTTGAACGGTCGCCACACGTCCGCGTTTCTAAAAAGGCCTCAGACGTTTCCTGGAGCTGAAATCTGCAGGGACTATTTTCAGCAGTGCACTGATCCACAGTCAGTGCAAGATGACTTCCTGTGACTGAAGTGGACTGAGAAGGGGAAGCTGAACTTTGACCTCTGACCCGTTAGCTGTGCGTGGTGTCATGGACTCAGCGGTCTGAGCGTGCTCGGCCATGTTGGCTGACGTCCAGAGTTTTTTCCTTTAGATCGATTTAGTGTGGCCTTTTAGAGCAGAGTCTGAAAAATGACCTCTGACCTCCTCGACCTCGGTGGGGAGGTGGGTGTCAGCCATGTTGGAACAACAACATGCAGAAGACACAGCCTGATTGGTCTGATTCTTGTCGCTCTACACGGCGCAGTTCCTGCCCAACACGCACGCTGCACGCTCCTGTGGATTAGTTTGCTGCCCAGCGACCTACAGCATCACCGAACAGAGGTCAAAGGTCATTTTTAGTCTGTTGGACCATGCAGGAGTCGCTCAGTCAGGACGATCACGCCGCACACTCAGTGTTTGCCTGCAGCTGTTTTGAATCTGTGATTTTATTTTGAAAGGGTAGCATATTTGTTTTGGGTTGGTATAACTTCCTGTTTTAGGGCAGACAGGAAGTCTGACTGCAGGTTTGCTGCTTGGTGACGTCAGCTGTTTGTTTCGGTGCTCTTCAGTTTTTATTCTAGCGGCTGACGCACCTGTGCAGGTGAGCCTGTTTGTCCTTCAGTTTATTGCTGAGCACACACACACACACACGCACGCACGCACGCAGACACACACACACAGATCCTGTTTCAGGATGTCCTCTGTAATCC